TATTCCTTTGCGGCATCCGCGTGCATCTCGAACGATATCGTCTCGCCGTTGTCGTCGTGGTCGCGAATATCGATCCCCCGTGAGGAAGTCAGCGGGTTTCGACTGCGAGAACGCCGGCGCGATGACGTTCCTCAGCTTAAGCAGAGCCGGGAGAGAGGTTGCACGCAGTTTTGCCGGGTTTAAAAGTTTAAGAAGGTGAAAGAGAGAAGGCGCACCCAGCCGGGCGCGTTATCCGAGTCGTCGGTGACGACGGCAGCGGCCAGGGTGTCCCATGGCGTAAATGGAAAGACACAAATGTATCCAGAGAGCGAGTAAACAGCGTCGGCTGCTTGCAGCCTAGCTCGCGGTTCAATATAAATGTAAATTGGAACAGATTCGAGAGCGCCGTGGAACACGTTTGGCTTCGGAACGCCCGGACTCTTCCGTTGGCTCTCACTCTCTTCGTCTCTCTTCCGTCGGTCTCATTCACTTTGTTTCTTTCTCTTTCTCCCACACACACGGCTTTCCCGGATTCTACTGACCCTTTCGACTTTCCCGTCTATACTGACACACACACAAGCACAGACTCCGTCTGAAATCGACCGACGGAAAATTTCATTTTCATCTCGCGCGCCTCGAAAACGACGTAAACGCATCTCGCGATGACGACGACGATGAAGAGCGTTCTATATTTATTGTGGTACACGATCGGTTGAAAAGCAGTCTTAGTGCAGACGTGAGCACGCGGCGAGCAATTAAGAAGCATTGCTCATTTTTGTATAGGTTCCGGGTCTCACGACTAATAAACGGGACTTAACTGAGATGAAAGATTGTTGAAGGATCAAAATATTTCTGACACAATCCTCTGACAAACTTACCCAAAAGGTACACTCTGATTTCTTTCTAATTTGGCACAAATATGGAAGTACAAGTACAAAAAATATTTAGGTCATATTATTTCATTTTGACTCACTTTGAGTTTCACGGACAGTTTATAGCTTTTTAATGTTCTCACTCCTATCATCAACAAGTGCAACAAAAATGCATAAGAAATAAAATTGAATACAAGATATAGTTAAATAATTTTAACAAAATCGGCATAGCTTAGACACGAATCATTCTAAATTTTTTTAGCCGAGATTTCAATCGGAGTATTTCAAATCTGTGCTAAATTAATCAAAAATGGTTCAAATCTCGACCAAACCAAGAAATTATTTGTATAAGTAATTTTTGTTTAAACATTTTATTATTTATACAAATAATTTTACACATTTGACCTCATATTCATAATCAGAAAATAAAAAACGCTTATATCTTGTATTTAATTTTATTTCTTATGCATCTTTGATGATAAGAGTGAGAACATTAAAAAGCTATAAACTGTCAAACTCAAAACGGGCTAAAATGAAAAAATATGACCTAAATATATTTTGTACTTCTACATTTGTACCAAAAATTAGAAGGAAATCGGAGTTTAACCTTTGGGTAGGTTTACTTATGAATCAATATTTAGAGACACATCGTGCCTGAGAAAAATATTGAAAAATATTTTCGTTTAATTATGAAAAAAACGTCTACAAAAATTTCCCACACTGAAAGAAAAATATAGTTGCTTTCGGCGTCAACTATACTCTTTTGTGATTTTAACCAGAAAAATAATCAAAAGAACCATTTTTCTAATAATATTTACTAAAACAATGACTTTTCTATTTTTGTATTTAAAATTACAAGAGAGTATAGTTGACGCCAAAGGCAACTATATTTTTCTCTCAGTGCACAGTACTGCTGTTTCAATTCTAAACAGAAAGGCATGATTGGGACATAAATGGATATTCGAATTGGTATCATAATGGGGTAATCAATTTTGGGAGGAATTTGGGCATTCTAATCAAATTTTATAAAAAATATTTGAAAATTTATTTTCTTTTATCGTGTCTGAGAAAATCTTGGGACATTTTTATACAAGTATTAACTAAAAAAGAATCGCGAGTTTCTATAATTTTCGTGTTTGAATCCTAAATAGAAGAGATTTTGCGACAGAAATAGGGTCTTAAATTAAGTATCGCAGTGAGATAAACCCAGTTTTGAGGCGAATTGAATATTATAGTCTATGCTATACTTTTGAAAAAATTTATTTCTCTGCGGGATGCGATTGCTGGAATCGCGAAGGGCCTAAAATGGACGAGGTTTTTTGGCCGGTCATTTGGACCGGACGAATGGAGCTAACCCATTACGACGACGACAAGGGCAGCGAGATCGCTGGCGGGCTTGTCGGAGCACATTAAAATCGCGCCGCTTTATCAAATGAAAAACTTTCCGGATTGCGGGCCAACAATCGTATTGGGCAAACGCAGAGCGGGTCCCACAACCGGCCGGATGCAAAAAAGGGACGAGCCGCAACTGAGAAGCGCAGCTGGGCGCGCTTTTGATCCGCGAAATCAAGCGAGTGGGACGCGTGCAAATTGAAAATTCATTAAATAACCCGGGCGAAAATGCTCGTTCCAAAAAGCGGCTGCTATTCGGGACATTTTAACGAAATTTTCGTCGCACGTCCGCATATTTCGAATTATATCCGCCGTACGGCACGGGCAATGCGTATTTTATAGAGGCACTTTGTCGCGCAATCGTTTGCGTAGCCGTTCCGACGTCATCGCACTGAGAAGAAAAGATTTCTTGGTTATCAGAACAAAACAGTGTTTATACACGGAAAAAAATGATCTGCTGCGTATGAACAACTACACTGAGAGAAATGGTTTGGTGAATGACACTATACTCGTCTTATGAAAGTAATATGGTGAATTTATATGCGATATCTGGTTCACATATTCAATATTCTGATTATGATGCCTCGACGCATCTGGTAGTCAATACCGAGACATTTAGTTGTAGACATCTAGACAGTTTGGTAATTCTCTCTAGACCCTATGATACTATTGACGCGATAGTTAATTGTTACTCGCTGCGACGTTTCCTTTTTCATCTATATTAATTTGTAAAGACGTCGGTGCTATAAAAGAGTAAACGCTGAAACCGTCAAATATTTGGAAGAATGAAATTTCTTAAAATATGTCGACGAATTTAGAAGTAAATGAATGAAGATTATATAAAATTATATGAATTATGATAAGATTATATGAAAATATAATAAGAAATATGATAAGATTATATGAAAATTATATATAATATGGTTAGATTTTAGGTTAGGTAAGAAGTTCAACACTACTCCACAACTGTATTCATAACATTCATCAAATGAATTGTATGCTATACCAGACGGTTTAGTAAACGTATTTAAGCATTACTATAATGCTACTTAGACAATGCGCTCACCAGATAGTTTGGTATCATTGACTAAATATCTTGTTACACGATTATTCATACTGTTTGGTAAACCTAAATAGAATTCTGGTTAGTATCATCAGACATTTCTCTCAGTGTAAATATAATTTGCTGTATTAGCCACTTTTTCTTTGCTGCAGAAGCCAATTTCCTTGCTATAATAACAAGAAAATCTGTTCCTGCAACAAAAAAGTAACTAAAGCAGTAAATTATGTTTAGTTGTCCATCTGTAGCAAATTTGCTACGTTAGCCACTTTTCTTGCTGTAGGAGCAGACTTTCTTGTTATCATAGCAAGAAAAAAAAATAGATTCTTGCAGCAAAGAAAAAGTACCTAACACAGCGAATTATATTTAATTATCCATATATAGCAATTAGTTTGCTGCTGCAACAAATTATTTTTTTCCGTGTAATGTTTAATGATCAGTAGGGAAATACAGAGAGAATTTCTTGCGATCTAACTGTGTTTTTGGGAGTTTCCTTAAATAATTATGGGTTCTAGGTAGAAGTGTAATGTTGCAAACACGTGATTCTAACCTAGTAAGGGTGGGGAGAAACTTAAGGTATTCCCAATAATTTTTCTGATCTTTATTTTATGTTAGAATTGAATAAAAAAACATGTTGACTCTTTCCAAACAATTTCTTTATTCAGTAAAGTGTTCTAAGCGTCTTAAAAATATTTTGCTTCTTTGGTTTTTTATTTTATCGAATATATGTACATACAATAATTGATATAAAAATTAAATTTCCTGTTTGATACTGCAAAATATACCGATATTACTGACTGAAAAAAACGCGAGTTTCCATAATGTTTCTATGAATTTAATTTAATTTAATTTAATTTAATTTAATTCTAGACAGAAAATTCATGTTTATGGGACGAGAATGGGACCACGCCGATATCAATAAATTGGTATTGTCTCAATGAGACAATATCAATTAATATCGTAGTAGGATAACCAATTTAGCGGCAAATTTGATTCCAATCTATGTTGTATCTGAGCAAATCTTGAAAAATTTCTTTACGCAGGCAAATCGAACAGTTATCGTTGGCAATCATTTCTCATCATTTGTCATTCTACCAAATATACATCGCCTAGGACACAAATCACATTTGTCCTCGTCTATTTAGCCCAGGCCAGTAATATCTTGTTACAGAAGTGTCGTTTAGAGCAGCGAATCGAAAGTAATAAATCATTTGTTCCCACTGCGGGTTTATTTGCTGAGCCATACCAACGAAACATTCGTTGCGAGTGCTTCGTTAAATTAGCAAAACTCTTTCTCTCGGTGTTCTCGTCGTCGCTCTTCCTGTTCGATCATCCCCGTTGCTCTCCTCGCGGAATCGCCCGCAAGGCTCGCTCGGTTCATTCAGTTTCGCGAGGAAGGAGAAGAGTTAACGAGCCGAGATAGCGTGAGATATCGGCCGCGAATAAGAAGACCAGAGTAGACTAGACTAGACGAGACGAGACGAGACGAGCCCGGTTGGACGGAGCGAGGGAGGCTCGAGAGACGGCTCTATCACGCTAATCTAGACACGATCTAGCGCCGGCGCTAATCTCGTTCCAGCACGAAGAGCGCGAACGAGCGCGCCTTACAGCGCGTCTCTCTCTTTCTCTCTCTCTTTCTCTCCCTCGCTCTCTCTCCCGCCAGGCTTCGTTGGTTCGTTCGTTGCCGCTTTCCTTACCCTTGCCGTTGCCGCTGACGTCCAATCTGAAGTTGTCGGGACCCTTTTGCCCGTCGACGAGTTGACCAAGTCCCCCGGAGAGGTAACCTCCTTCTTCCCGGCCGTCGTACGTTCTGTCGGAAAGGTCAACCTCGGAGCCCCTCTTGATTCCTTGGGGCATGGAATACGAGACGAGACCCTCTGTAAGGAAGAACAAGGTGGAGTCGGGTATAAAGAATATATAAGCTCGTGAACTATGCATCATCACGTTGCTACGTGGTCGGGAAACGCGTGAGCGGGCCAACGAGCGAGCGTTTCTCCTTGCCGACAGTACGTGATAAGATTGCGGACGGTTACGGGGAAAAGCGCGGGCAGGCGCGCGTCGTCGGGAAAAAGTAACGAGGGTCAACATTTTTAATCTCAGCGCCCCGAGGATTACTCGATTCGATACCAAGGCGATACCAAGGCGGCGACGGTTGATCTCGGGGACTCGACGTCGTCCGCTTTTTCGTTAAAAACACGCCGAGGCGGGCGACTTATGTCAAAAGCAAATGCGCCGACGGAATGTCAGGCGTCAATAAGCGCGAATGAGTTACACGGTTCGGTACTCGCGGCCCGAGGTATCGCGCCTGCGTCCGTTCCTATCAGCCGAGCATTTTTCTCGCCCCCGATAATGGCGATGGGTGAAATTGTTTCGCGCCCTTGTCCTGTCGCCAATATGCGCCGCGGGGGTTGCCTGAATTTTTCAGACCCAGATTTCCCAGAGAGAAATGTGGGAAGAAGACTTAGAAATTTATTTTATTGGGATATAAAACTTATTCACAGAAATTAACTTTGTATATTTTTACATTACAAATTTTCGAAGTATATATATTTTTTCAATATTTTTTATATTCTTTATTAATTTTTAAACCCTTTGACTAATCTGGACCAAATTTTGCATAGTTCGTTCTCTAGAATTTTGCTGTAAATATAAGCTACTATAAAATTTGGGAATATATCCTCACCCCCTCCTTCTGATCTCATTCCCTTGATACTTTGTGGCAACACCGGGAATTAAAGCTAATTTGAAGAATGCGAATGTCATTTTTTTAATGACATTCGCAAAAGAGAAAATATCTAAAAAATAGTAAATAATTATTTGGTGGGTATTAATAATACATTCACATCTTTTAAGTAGTATTTATTAAGTATATTTGTATATTTTTATATTTATTAAGTATTTAAGTACTTTAGCTTTTCATGAAAAGCTAAGGTTTTCTCAAGTTTTCAAGAAAATGTATATTTTCTTTTCTGAAAAATATTTTAAACAAATAAAATATGTGATTATAACATCCACCGAGTAAATAACTATTAATTTGATGTTTCTTCTCTCAGTATGTTTCTTGCGCTACCAGACTTATTAACGATGACAGACAAATAGAAATTCCTGTTTCGCTTTGTCTGTTTTTGTTATGCTGATTTTCTAACCGCTCTTTGTTTCTCCACATTTTTCTTGTAGGTACTTATAACATGCTTTTAACATTTTACTTAAAATGTAATGTAACGTTTGGTTTTAAAAAAGAGTATGCAATGCGCGCGAGTATTAGAATAATTGGCGAGAAATGTAAACTTCCCCCTCCCCTCCCTAACGCCAACAGTCGTCGTTTAAAATAAACATCAGGCAGCCATATACAATCATAACATACGTGGCGGTTAGATTTACCTTGGTGTCTTACATGTTTTTGCAGATGATTCCGAGTCGCCGAGCGACACGTACACAACGGACTGAGTATGTCGCCGTTGTTGCTCTCCGTAATCAAAACCTAGTAATCAAATTTGTCCTTGTGCCTCGGGGACTCTCCGGATCCTTTCATTCAGTCCCGGGTCGTCGAGTGATACGCATACTGACGAACTGCACGTGTCGGCGCGTTATATTTTGTGCTCCTCCCGAGTAATTAAACTATTTCGCCGATATATTATGGAACACAATTAGTCTCTCGTCGGTGTCGCGGTATTTAACACGTGTCTCTTGGACTGAATTGTGTCCACGCGAGTGTCAGTGTCAGTGCCACGACGGAGCAGACGGGAGCCAGAGTGCTGAATGCTGGAAGCCGGGATAGAGGGAGACCAGGAGCGAAGCCAGGACACAGAGGACACACTGGGACGTGGACAACGGTGCATCATATATCTCAGGTACGCGAAATCATTTATTACACGGGAGATTTCCATTTTTAACGGGCGTTTTGGACGAACTTACAAACAGATACCCGAGTCGAAATTTAGGCCGACATTCGTAGTCTGTCATCGTTAGACAAGTAATTGTAGCTTCTCCAATTCTTCGTCAATCTGTACTTATCATATTATTATTTCACGCGAGAAATACATTAATTGAAGCAGCCGGCAAATAACGGCGCATAAATACGAACTTCTAATTAGTTGAGTACAAAATTGTAATTAATTGTGCTCTCTCAGCCGAGGATTATACGAAGTAAAATACAGCTACGAATACCGGCTTTGGAATTGAATATAATTCTTGCAAGTGTTGTGATACTTACGTCTAATAATGCTGCACCGACCAACGCTTTGTCTTCTCATTTCATTTTATTCTTTGTTCTTATACTTTGTTCTTATACAGAATCTAAACTCGAATCTCGGCAAATAGCATTATTGGATACATAATCTTATATTTTTCTTTCCAGCTATATATCAGTTCTTTTAAGAACTACTAATCTCATCAAAACTTCTAAAAAAAAGCAAAGAAAAAAAGGAAAAAAGAAAGAAAAGAGACACTAGGAAGAGATGAGATTAAGACTTGTTACTTTACCAACCTATTTGCCCTCACACATTAATCCTTATTAAATAATTTAACATCTGCTTGCTAAAAAATAAATTTAACGTCTACTTATAGATATATTTTTTTTTATAAATTTCACTCAAATATAATCGCACTTTGCCAATTGTCAATCGCGAGTGTATATTTTCCAGTGTATTAACGCAAAATAACAATAACAATAAAATTCTTAACTTTTCTGAGTTCTGCACAAACTATGTGCGCTTTTCACGATTTTCCGGCTGAGCGGTGTAACTGCTGTTCAAATCATGCAAATCGTGTATGATAATTGACGAGCGATTTTTATGCATCGAATGCACTCGTGCGCGTAATTTTTGCGACTTTCTTCGCGGAAGGAGACGCATCAGAGGAGTTAGGCGGCCGCTTAAGGTAGGTGGATAGATACATAAGGTAGGCAGATTAAATAAATACACTAAGGTAAGTGGTGAGGACGTCGCCTGGAATTCATGTCTTGATCTCACTCCTGGTTGAAAAGTCGCCGAATAGTCGCACTTTCGCTCATTTCCAATCGCGCGTATGTGTCATATATTTGCCCATTAACGCATTAATGTAAAATCACAGCACACCGAGGAGAAAATAGTTGACCCAACTGAAATGATAGTTACTTTTGACTTTGTTTTTCCAACTATATTTTTTATTCTAACACGAAAATGGTAGTAGTGATATTCATATGTAGTTATTATCATCAACATTATAGTAAAATTTCGGAAAAAAATGATTTCCTCGACCATGCTTTATAGTAATTATTTCTCTGTACGATTACAGTTACAAATACCAAACATATTTTTCTCAAGGACATACTTCGCTCATTGGAGCATCGAGCAATTGTTGAACGATAGTTTAATTGTGCGTTTTTGAGGTTTTCTGTGCAATCAGATTATTGCGAATGGCAGTGAGCAAGTGTTGGTTTTGTGCATTCGATGCGTCCGAGTGCTTAATTTTTCCGACATTTTTTCCGCGGAGCTTGATGCATCGTGTAGTGACGAGAAAATAGTGACGAGAGGAGACGAGAGTTTCGATCGCGTTGTGCGTTCATAGACTTTAAAACGCGAAACCTTTAAACATAAACGCGAAATTCTATTGAAAAAATATATTGAGGTAATCGAATAATTGACAAGTAATTGACATCATTAAAAATAAATAAAAAGTTCGAACATTAAGTAATTCTTGAACGAGTGCCCTTTCGAGCTTCTTTAACATGGCTCGAAAATATCGAGATAAACGTTGGATCTCGAATCGTTATCATCTAATCGCGACTATTCTGTGCGACTCGTATTTCAAATTTGAATTTCTATTAAAAATATTGAGATAATCGAATGTTAAACGATTACAAAATAATAAAACATTTTAATATTATATATATTTAAATATTATATACATATTTAGATATTTTATTAAATTTTATTTTTTTATCCTTATTAAATTTAATAAAATATTAAATAATAAATTAATAAAAATAATTGAGAACTAATAATAATAATTAAGACTTAAGAATTAATTATTATAAAATAATTAAAATAATTAAAAAGAAGAAAAGAAAGTTTGAGCATTCCTGAACGAGTGTCTCTTCGAGTTTCTTCGACATGCAGAGAAAGACAGAGAAAGGCAGTGAATAACCGTCTGCGGCATTAAGATAAGTCAATAGTTTATAATCTCGAGATTCTTCATTGACTCAAGCATGGAATTTGCAGAGTCAATGTAGGATCAAAATTTCGACTCGGGTGAACGTTCACAGCAAGTCCTTTAAATTTCCGCATTGAAAAAACGGCAGCGAGTTACGATTTGTATTACATACAGAAAAATATATTACTCTATTGTTAAGAAAAATAACCACATAGTTTATTGCTTTCTTTTAAGTACAATATCCACCATCGACAAAGAATATTTTCTTAATAATAGTGCCAAAATATATTCATTACTAATTTGGGAAAAGCACATTATCATATGCTCAAAAAAAATTTACTCTTTTCACAAGAAAATTATAGAACTTTATCGAAGAAAAAATTGGTTCGACTTTATGTAGTGAGCAAAACGAATTTTTATTTCAATTTTATATTCTTGATTGAAATATTAAGTCTATTAATATTCAGAATGTATTGAGAGAGAGAGAATCAATTTGATGATTATAACGAACTTGTAGTAGATTCACAGATATACATAACTTATGAAACGCTTGAAACAAGTAAAACATTTACTTGAATAGAGTATATATTTTTCTGTGTGTAGAACATCAAAGCAGCACAATAGTCTATACACGGAGAGAATATTATAATTTGTTTTCAATTTTATCAGTTTTTTTCAATTTTATTTATCAATTAATTTTTTCAATTTTATTTATTAATTACTTTTTTCAATTTTACTATGTTTATTTGTCTATAAATGGACTATCAATAAGATCTATTTTATTAGGGAACTAGCCAGCAAATTTCGCTGAAAACATAGCAAGGTGTTTTATTCCCGTTCCTAAAATACAAGTAACGCACATGAAATGAAAAGACAGAGACGAATTACTGCAGAATGTCAATCTCGTTTACAAAGTCGTACAGTGATTTTTACTAAAAAATTCTCTCCGTGTATAATCCTATAGCTTCAAGATTTTTCAGCGGCTTACAAGTTCGACGATATTTGCACATACTTAATCTAAGAATATCAATTTCGATTGCTACACTGTAAAAACTAATGTGTTAAATTTAATACCTATCATGTGTTCTAAATCATCCACTCTTATTTATGTGTAAATTTGACACAGAACAAATGTGTTAAAAAGTAATACGCATAATATGGAAAAAATTAACATAAGAATCTAACACTTTAATACCGTTAGGAATCATAAGTTGTGTTAAATTGACATATTTAATATGTCAGACATAGATTATGTCAATTTAATATTTTCATTTCATCAAAACCGTAGATTAATACTTCTTTCAAATGATGAAGTAACGTTTTATTTTAGTTAATTTAACATTATACATATGTTAATTTAATACAAACTGTGATTCCTGACGGTACTGAAGTGTTAAATTCTTGTGTTAATTTTTTACACGTGTTACTTTATTATGCGTGTTACTTTTTATCACATTTGTTTTGTGTTAAATTTACACATAAATGAGAGTGGATGATTTGGGACATATGAAATGTTAAATTTAACACATCAGTTTTTACAGTGTAATAATAGCCACTGTAATGTCTCTCTCATGTAATATTCCGTACCATACATAAATTTACAACCTTGCGGCTGGAGAGTCACGAGGTTCCCTTTCTATTCAAACCGCCATTACGACGAATTCAAACGATTCGATCGCGCCGCTTGTTCTCTCGAACGACGATAGTGAGATAAAAAATGACGGAACGCTCGTGGATACTTATCGCGGCCGTTTATTGTAGTTTCATTGCGCCATCGGCTAGGGGAACGTTAAAAAGACTCGCCAAAGGAAGCCGAAGTGTTTCATTACGGTAATTGTACCGCGCGTAATTCTATATTCCGCTGCCTTTTGGTATAATCGTCGCGCGCGCGTGGTTGCGAGGCGAGCGACTATAGTCTCCCCCGCTTAATTCCCGCACGTAAGTCACAATTTATTTTGCAAGTCAATATTATTGGCAGCCCACGGGCGTAATTGTGCGTTCAAACGATATAACGACGCTTGGCGCTATGCAGATGGCACAGTTAGCGGGTGGCGCGTAGTTCGTCGGGGTTGGATTAATGTAGACGCAGCTGCGGCTCAGGGCCGACCGTGATCGTAAATCTAAGTTAATCTGAGATTCGGGAGACTGACGCCCGACATCGACGTCTCTCGTCAACTCGGGCCGGACGGTAGAAGTCGACGGCTCGCGAAATTAAAGTTCCGCCCCGATTTTTGGCCGGCTGCAAGCGCAAACTGCGGATGCGCGTCGCGCATATTTCTTCGGAAGATCTTCATGCGTGGAAATGAAAGTTTAAAGGGGAGATTATTACAAAGATATATATATATATATATATATATATATATATATATATATATACATATGCATAATATTCTGAAATATTTAAAATATTATGCCAATTGAACACTACGAGGCGATACCACACTGAAAAATTCATTTAATTGGGTTAACAAAAATTTGGTTAAAATAGGGTCGAACAAATGTTTCGGTTGTGAGGGTTAAAATTTCGTTCTTTCTACGTTCAAAGACTTGATTCTCTGAAACTAAACCTGTTTCATTTTTGTTTTAAAATATCAAACCTTTGATTTAAAGTACATATTAAATATGTCAATTTAACACAACTTGTGATTCCTAACGGTATTAAAGTGTTAGATTCTTATGTTAATTTTTTCCATATTATGCGTATTACTTTTTAACACATTTGTTCTGTGTCAAATTTACACATAAATAAGAGTGGATGATTTAGAACACATGATAGGTATTAAATTTAACACATTAGTTTTTACAGTGTAGCAATCGAAATTGATATTCTTAGATTAAGTATGTGCAAATATCGTCGAACTTGTAAGCCGCTGAAAAATCTTGAAGCTATAGGATTATACACGGAGAGAATTTTTTAGTAAATATTGATTCTTACAACCAAAATACTTGTTCCACCTTATTTTAACCAAATTTTAATTAACTCAAATAAATGAGTTTTTCAGTGCACACGGAAAAAAGATTGTGTTAACCAGAAAAATAGTATGGCATAACTTTTTTCTGGTTTTAACAATCAATTCTTGGTTGCGCTGACCTATCGATTCGTTGCCTTAAAAATGCATTTTTTAAGTAACGAATCGCAGTACTAATGTATGATGTCGCATACATAAAGGTCAACGTAACCAAAAATTAGTTATTGAAGTCAGAAATAAAAACTGCGCCATATTTTACTATTTTTTAATTGACACCATTCTCATTTTTCGTGCATTTGTGTATATTGCACGATTATTAACGGATAATATTTACCAAGCTTGCAGATAAAAGAAAATATGATATATCATACAGGGTGTCTCATTTTAAATTTAATAATCATTGCTCATTAATCTTTAGTTGTATAATATTAAGGCAACGCCTTGAAAAATTAATACAGAGAAAAAAATGATTTTTGCAACTATAATCATATAGAGAGATGATTATTACAAATCACGATGAAGGGAACTATTTTTTATTTAATTTTATTATAATGTTAGTGATAATAAACTTGCATGTAATAATAATAATAATGTATGCATGTTACTATTGTTATTTTCATGTGGAAAAATATGGCCGAGACCAAAAATAACTATAATTTTAGTTAGATAAACCATTCTTTTCTCTTCGTATATAATCTTTAATTTATATCAAAATAGTATAAAATGATGCACGGAGCGATGCATTTTTACCGCGTTATGTTATAACAGCAGATTCTCTCTCTGAATTTGGAAAATTTTTCCGGTAAAAATACCCAAGAAAGATAATCGTTTTTTACTGCTTTCCAATTTTTAAGACCTTCTTCTACATCCGCGACTAAGTGGTCGCAAAATGTTACTAAAGCGGTCTCTCCATCGAGAATTGACTTAAAAATGTGATTTAGTCCATTTGGCTTTTCGCAAAGCTCTTGGTCGTTCACAATTTATTCATTTATTTCAAAAATTTTTAGTATCTCAACGTTAAAAAAAAATAGAAAAGAAGTCGACCTCAATTCGCCCAGAGAATCCGTTGTCACAGAATAATGATGTAGAAGTGGAATATTTCGTGTGTATAGAAGCGAAATGCGATTCCCTGTGCAGACGAGTTTCGCGAAAAACCCGAGAAAAACGCTATGTAATAGTAAAGTCGTTAATATTTCTTGACCATTCTCAACACATGAGCGAGTCGAAAGTCCCGCAGGCCGAAACGAGCGCGCTGAATAAACCCGCGTCCGCAGTTGAAAGTTGCTCCGGCGACGTCTCGCGTGTAGCTTTCTGCATCAACGATTTGCAAAACGTAGTTACACGTAAAGGCCATTCTGCAATTGCGTAAGCGTGGTCGTAAGTGGTTATAAGTGATAAAGCAATCAGTGAATAAAATATTCTGACTAGTAGACTTTCACGTCCACGTTTTCGCAATAGAATGTGGCTTACTCCGCTATTGTAGACCAAGTTTAACAGTGATCTTAAGCGGAGTCTACAATGAGAACTTAAGCTATAAAACTTAGGCTTTAAACCTGAAGTTGTAAGAAATTAATCAATTAGAGTGAAATATAAGAAAAATAGCTGACAGTGATTGGTTTCTTAAGGTTTCAGGCTTAAAGCTTAAGTTTTATGGTTCTTACTGTAAACTCCGCTTTACTGATCTACGTTAATGACGATGATACATCGTTAATACCTCTTCATTCACTGGCAAACGCGAGAGCGTGCTCTCGCGAGCGGGAACGAGAGCGCGAAGAGTACGAAGTCACGTCTGTGCGGCCGAAGTTGTCGTGGCGGATACGGGCGTCGAATAAATTCTGCGCGAGGCGTTACTTCGCACACGTATGTGTGCATGTACGTACAACACGTACCTACGCGCGTTTCCGTTGTTTCGACCGCGGATCCAAGGCACAAATCTAAGTTATCGTCGGCTCGCCGCGCCACGCCGTGTGATGTCTCTCGTCAGGAAATTCCTGCCGAGCGGGCCGTGTCGTTGACGTGAAATGTAAAATGCATGATAACACACAACACGGGCGATTCCGCAGAGAGAGAAAGGGAGAGAGAGACTGCAATCATTTGTTCTCAGCTTCGTCCTCGCGACGAGGTGGCAGCGTAGCGCAGTTGGCAAATTCATCAGTCGCGACAAGTGTATCGAATCGCAGCGTCGTTCGCCCTTGCGACGATAAAAAATATCCAGGTGCGCTTTTCTCTCCTCCCTCTCTCTCTCTCTTTCTCTCGAATATTTTCACATATTACATCGGGGAACACGTCGAGTGTGTTTTTTTTGCGCGCCGCTGATAAAATTGTTTCGACTCGGGTAGCGGGATATTTTTCTCATTTATTACGGCCGGCTAGAGCCGCGCGACGCGGAATGAACGGCAAACATCATACCCGCGTGAAATATGCCGATCCGAATGTGTTTTCATGGAAGCTCGTTAAAAGCCAACCGGCTGATCGCCGACGAATAAACACACTCATACTCACACAGAAAAATATTCTACCGCTAAGAAAAACGATTATTCAGTTTAGTATTTCCCTTTTTTTGAATAACATTCATTTTCAAGATAGAACAATTTTCTTGATAATAATCTTGAGATATACTCGTCATAAATTTCAGAAGAGCTCATTATCGCGTAGAAAACGTTTTTGTTTTGAAGATGTCTATTTTTCATCTTAAGTTACTGTTATTCTTCATCTTTATTTTAAATCTTAAAATAAGGTCACAGCATTAAAAGAAGATATGTTACATTTACATTAATACATTTTATATGATTTAACGAAGAAAAATATATTCTTATTATAAAAAAACATATAATTTTCATGAATGGATAGCACAAAGTATTGAATAATTGAAGATGTCTTTAAATGTTGGAAAAATATATCATATTATCAAAGTAATCATTGTTGTATTTTTTATGAGACTAGTATAATGTTTAAATAAAATTATAACATTATGAAATTCAAGACTTCAATGTTCTCTCTTTTATCAAAATTACAAATCGTTACTTATATATAAAACAATGATTATTTCAGTATATTAATTTTAAATAGATACTTTGTTCTTTCCTATACATGCACTCAAGAGAGAGAATATATGTGTGGGTGTGTTCTTTTTAGCACAGAACAACATAAAACTTTATCAAAGAAAAAGTTGTATTTTACGTAATAAGCGAATCGTATCCTTGTTTTAATCTGACATTCTTGATTAAACTGCTAAACTTGTAGGATTCAGAATGTAGTTGGAATAAATGTGACGTTTACGGTAAACTCGTGATAGATTTGCGGATTATATAAATACTTGAATATGTGAAACACGCGCGAATAAACAAGTATGAAATACTTGAAACAAGTAGCATTTACTCGAGTGCGGTGTGTACTCTTCTGTGCGCGCGCGATCTCGTGGTATGCCTCAACGGAAAGAGGATTTTTCTCGCACTCACCTGTCCATGGGCAGCCGTACAGCTCTACGCGCATGCACACTATGCGCATGTGAGAGGTGTAAGGGATGAAGCGGATCTTGGTCGCGACTATGGCCGGGTCGAAGATCTGCTCCTTCTCCGTGTACGCGTTGTTATTGCCCGCCAACAGCTGCAACGAGACGAAAGAGACGCGTGTTCATTAACGACAAACGTGGGTGCTCTGCACGCACGCGGATAAAAAAAAAAATGATGGCCGAAAATGCGCGCGGGATGGGCAAAAAATGGCGCGACGTCGCTGGGGAAAAAGTCGCGACTTGAATTCAACAACTTGTCTCGCCGGTTGCACATGATATTTTTATTGAAACGAGGGATCTCTCCTCGCGTCGACCTCGTGTATACACAATGGGGGAGGGGAAGCGCGCACGTTGAAAATAGTTAACTTCAGTCACATCCAGTTTTCCGTTCCTGTTGAAAAGCAGGAAAACAAGCGTATATTTCATAGCATCCGCGTCAAACTTGTTTTTTCCTCCTCTCTCAATTCTTTTTTTACAGCTATGTATCTCTCTCTTTCACTCTATCTTCCTTCTTTTTTTTAACATTCAATATCGCGAATTGTTCATGTTGTACAATTTCCAAAACGATACTACCTGCAAAAATATGTTTTTTAATTCCCTGTCGCGACGCGCGCGCTACGCAACATTTTTTGAAAGAACGGCGCTCGTTAGTGTTGTTCCTCTCTTTTTCTCTATCGTACTTTTTTTTAGGGACTATATATCTGCGCGCGGTTTCGATTTCTTGCTCTCGCGCATCCAGCCGATTTTACGTTAACCGGACAAATGACCAGTCGGATGTGTGGAAAGGAAGACAAAGAAATCTATCAAGAATGCCGGTCACTCAATTTAGACTTAAGGAACTCGCTCTCGTCACCGTGTTCATCCGCGACCGGTGGCCTGAAACTAACCGGCGGTCATTGGAACATGTTTACAACGCTAAGAATGAATCCCACAGGCCGGGAGTGCCATTTTCCGTATCCGATTAGTAAACAACGGTTCACCGGCGTGAGAGACCTCTTCTAAATGTAAATGCAAGCGTTAAATCTGGACCGACACGGCGGCGGCGTCTTCTCCTATCGCCGTCCTTTGGTGCCTTCGTGTCTGCGCGCGACCAACGTGTCCCGGATGACACGCGTCCCCGATTAGAAATTGATCCTATAATCCCGATCAGGTTAATCCCAATCAGTTATCTGCTTTGTGTAAGATAATGTTATCGGGTCGTACAATTATTAATAATTCTTATTATATTAATACGGTTCTGATTGCCACATAGCGTTGCATGACGTATCAGGATTCGATGGCACCATTTTGTATAAACCAGATGACTGGTTGGGATCAACCTGACCAGTAATGCGATTCTGTAACTCGTTATTGTAGTTAACGACAGTCTCATTATTGTTGCACAGCTTTTCTACAGTACGAAAAAGCTGCGCAATGATGACGAAACTATCGTTAACTGCAATAACGAGTTCGAATCGCACTACAGGACCATGGGATAAGTGTCTAGTTGGGTCCTCGTTCCCAATCAGTTATCTACTTTGTATAAGATAATGTTATCGGGTTGTACTTATTAATAATTCTTATTATATTAATACGGTTCTGATTGCCACATAGCGTTGCATGACATATCAGGATTCGATGGCACCATATTGTATAAACCCAATGACTGATTGGGATCAATCCTGACCATGGGATAAGTATTTAGTCGGGTCCTCGTTGCCGTCGCCGTATCGTACCGTATCGTAGTCGCATCGAGGAGACGCACATATGTGCGTGGGTCACCCCCAACGATGGAGATGTGGTGAACTGTAAGATACAATGAACGCACTTGGTTGTCACCGTCCGGGAAAAATCATGAGCCGTCCTGACTAGAAAGAGATCCCATCTTAATCATAGATCCCATCATAGATCAAGTTAAAGAAATGGGAGAGAGATGAAGGTCTTTATCCATAAAATAATATGGATTACAGATGCTAATGATATCAATTTAGGAGGACTTTAACCAAGCTCCGATTAACTTAATCGCCGATTAATTCCTGCGACCAGTACATAGCTGTTGGCCAATTCTGCTGGTCACGAGCTCTCTCGCTCGCGAACTCGGCCGAGATGGGAAACGAGCGCGCGGGGGTTGTCGCTTTAGAGAAGCGGGGCTCTTAAATTCGACGCACGCGCGTATATTACCGTGTACGCTGATAGAACACGCTAAGGGATAATAATGCCATGGCTACATTGTTCGCCCGGAGCGCCGTGTAATTCAGTACCTGCGCGCGCGCTTGTGTATCCGCGTTCTGTTTTGCATTCTGGCCACTCGGACGGATTAGCGGTTCTCATCCGTCCGTCTGTCTGTCCACCGTGGCGTTACCCAACGTCGCGCGGTTTTCTCGCGGGAGAGCTCTGCGAGTTCGCTCTCTCCCGTCCCCTTCCCCCTCGTGTGTGATCGTTGGTCGGGGTAATTGTCGCGGCCAATTTATTCGCGAGCAATTCCGGTCACGAAGAAATCACGATGTAGTCAATCGCGGACCTCGTCATCGCCCTTCCTGCTTCCTACCCGCAGTCGATATGTCACTTAAAGGGATGCTGAAGCAGAAAACTTTACCAACAGAATACTGATATTTTTCTACACTGCAATGTGAGTTAACAAGAAATGCGACAGTTTAAGAAAATTAAAAGATCTTTAATTAGCGAATTCGCCGGGAATATGTGTCTATTTGAGTCCGGAAAGAACGGGAGGTTTAAATTAGACTGCTGCAAAATATTTGTCATGTTCGTCAAGTAAAGTAGGAAACGAGATTATTCAATCTTAAGGATGAATAATTCTTGCAAATAGAGAACAAACAACGTCAACATTTAATTTAATCAAACATCCTGTGAGAATTTAATAGAAAACTGACGAATCTTTCGCACCCCTTTCTCCCCCGACTAATAGTTCGATAAATTCTATAAATAAATCTATAAATTCACACGATCTCGCAGGATTATTGCGAAATAACAAAGTCAGGTGAAGTTCGCGAACAGCAACGTCCACATCCAGTTCGCGGAAGCACGAAACGTCAATTTCTAACGAGCTATATATCAGTATTAATTCGACGATAGGAGCCAAAATACGCTGATGTTAACGTTAATAATTTAAATACAAATAGTCAATTAATAAATAAAATAAATAAAATAAAAATAAAAAGAAAAAATTAAAAATCGAAAATTTATTCTTGCGCAACGTTTCGACTATGGGATGTGGTCCTCTTCAGGCGATGTTTAATACGAAGTCATAAAAAACATACGATGGTCAGCATACTATAGTCAAAAATATTGCAGAAGCTAAGCTTCTAATGAGCTAATTGTCACTGAAATTAGGACAAGGTATACTTCGTTGCTGCATCTTTTCCTCCCCCTGCATGTGTTAGAACGAAGAAATCTGTATCGTTGTGCGAGTTATAGAATCGCGTGGAAAGACGGACAGGATATACAGAGTAGAAGAGAGAGAGAGAGGAGAGGCAGAGGACGATACGTTGTACATCCGATCGTCCAAACACGCCGGTCGTCGTTGTCATCACGAACGGGGAGCAGCGAATCCGCGTTGAAATATGAATATTCGCGCGATACCAGCCGCGTCTCTCCCCCTCCCGCTCTGTTCACCGTCTATTCATCTATCCATTTCTCTCTCTCTCTCTCTCTCTCTCTCTCTCTCGCTCGCTTTCGCTCTCGGCGGAACGAAAACCGAGTACGGTTCTAAACACCGTGCACAAGCGGAGTAGATATGACACAAAGTTACATAGCTAATATGCTGTACACAGACGCGGGCTGTGACCCGGGCCGGACACGAGCGACCATTGGCTTTTGCTTTGATTTGTGTTAGCGACGGCGGCGGCAGTGCGATTAGAATTTCTAACCAGGAATCCGTTATTTCGCGTTAATCATATAAAGCGGCCGGACTATCTGATGTCCACGGCCGCCGTGGTGTTGGACCGGTCGAAACTGAAAACGCACGCGGAACGAAAACGGGCGAGCTGGCGGGCGCGTCGTTTCGGAATTTCACGATTACAGCACGTAACGGAATATTCCAGCGTATATGCCGGCGCTGATAGTTATTTACTCTTCGTTCGTTTATTTTAGATGTGTGCACGATCCGATATCTCGCACGTCGGTTTCAGAGATGTGCGGCTGCGTGTATGTGGACGCGCGCAGCGCGCACGGGCAGAAGGCGAATTTGTAACAAAAGTATGACCGCTTCGTCCCGATGCCTGAAGGCTGTTCGATTTTTCGACTTTTAAGTAGCAATTGCGTTCGAGTATTCCGCGAGACACTGAGGTGTGTGATCTTGAGTCTCTTTCGACGATGGGGGCTGTTGGAAGCTCGCGATCTGCTCGCGACACGCAAATGGGGAGGGTGAAGAACATAAGTTTATAAAGTTGGTATGTGATAATTGAGTCAATAAACAACCGGAATTGTAAACTAATAGACACAGACATTAATAATTTTCAATTGTCGGAACGATAAAGTCTGTATATATGATACGATTTTTCCGAAAGTTTCTTCGGCCTAATCGCGCCCGTTTCTACTTTCAATTCTTATTCCCATAAGTATATTTACTTTGCTAGTCGAATCTTCTCTGTTGTCAAGGCCACGGTGGTCGAACTGGTTACTCCTACACAAGGAGTAGAGGTCCAGGTTCGATTGCTGGCTGGACTAATTTTTCCACAACAGTTTTAAACTTTCGCGGCACGCAGGAACAGAAAACAGAGAGAGAAAGAGGGAGAGAGAGGAGAGAGAGAGAGAGAGAGAGAGAGAGAGAGAAAGAAAGAGCGCGAGAGAGAGAGAGAAGACTTGCAAGCTGCAAACGGCCCACGAAGTTGTAAACGTTACGCAAATGGAACGTGCCGCTTGAACACGGCGGCAACGGGCCGCAGCGACTGCGATGGCGGCGACGTAGCGGAATGGAGAGCTGCCGCCGCTCGTTCTGTATCGCGGGGGCCGTCTCGAAACGACCGACCGCGGATGCATTACAACTGCAACTGCAACGTGCCGGAATACAAGCCAGGCCGGGTTCTACGCGATAGGAATAATTAATATACCTATATATAAGATGTCTCTCTCTCTCTCTCTCTCTCTCTCTCTCTCT